CATATATGTGGAGCCCAAGACTTATCCTGGTCTCCTACTATCATACCGAAATAAAGCTGATAGGCACTCTTTAGAAGAGGCATCAGACTGTGTTTCTGTGGGGAAAATGTTATTTCGCTACACATATAACAAAAATTATTCACCATAATTACACATTTTCGTTGCATTTTCACGATACTAAAAATCACTCTCAAACCAGAAATTCTGCATTAATTACATCAGAAACTATATGAAACTCATAGTCACACCAATGTTAACTATGATTTATGATTTACAAACATCTGAAGAGCTTTTGTGTTTTGTTATTCGACAGGTGTACCAACTCCCACAACAAAAATTTACCACAAATTGAAAATCTTGACTCTAAAAAATGAAATGTCACTTTATCACCAAAGCAAGATCTAATACGTCATTTTTATGGTGAATTTTGAATTTAGCAGATGGAAATACATATGAATTGACTTTTTTTGAGCACGAAACAATTTCATTGTTGCCCAGTGTTATTAGAGTACAATTATTTTGATATCGTAAACTGGCAATTGAACAATTATTAAAACCAGCGTGTATAAAACTCAATACACTGTAACTCACTGTTCACTTAAATGTTCCGATTTAAACGATTTTTTTTATAGCTTTGTCGAAAATTTAATAACTTTAAAAAAAAAAACGCGTGCCAAGTGAGGCAAGTATAGCTTCCTCATTATTTTCAGTGGTTCCACACTTACCTATATCTCAAGGTCTACTACAACTACTCCTAATTTTACTCCGAATCGAACGGGCCAAGGGACAGGTGAGAGGCCGTTTCTGAAATATCGGCATATCTTATAAAATAAATTTGCAAATACGCAACCGGAAGTAATGTGCAGAATTTAATAAATTCCACATTTGCTTCATTATTTTACCAATACCTAAATTTCTTTCAACATTGAGCCAAATCAAACGTGCTGTTTCCGAAATATTATTATACCTGAGAAAATACATTTGCGCGTGCGAATCGAAAGTAATGTACACAATTCAATAAAATGGATACAGACAGCATCATTACATTACCTATTCCCATCTTTCATCTAATTTTTAGCCACATCGATCAATCCGTTTCTGAAATATTGGCATATGTAGATAGAAAAAAAAACTTTATTCTGGGACTAAGTCCCTTCAGAATAACAATAATGTACAAAATAATAGAATATTACTGGCCTAAACGTTGAAACAATAAATAAAATTGATAAAATAAAATAAAAAGTAAAGAAAACCTTAGGTGCACAAGCTATATACAATACAGATAAAACTATGTACAGAGCATTTAAAATTAAGAACAAAACAATTAAAACTATGAACGAATCACTTGAACTTTGAACAAAATTATATATAAGGGTTGAACGACATAAACATACACTTTGAGAAATGAAGAACGAAAAAGAGATATAATGCGTTCATTTCATAAAAAAAAAAAAAAACTTTAGTTGAATATATATATAAAAATAAACAGTTAATTATAATTGAATAAAAAAAAAAATGTATGTATTGAAATTCCTATGTCGATAGTGGGAAATCCATGTACTATCTCTTAACAAGTATTATGATTATATGATTGCTACACAATACATATATAATATTAATAGTTAGCTGGTATCTGACTGTTTTTGGAACAGGAATTGGAATAGGAGGTTTTTGAATGTGTACAGGGAAGGGGCATGTCGAATTTTGATCGGGAGAGAATTCCAAAAGTTGACAGAGCGGGCTATAAAGGAATTTTGGAATGAGGCAGATCTATGAGAAGGGATGTATAGGTCACAGGGTCGGTATCTTCTAGTGAGGGGAATGGATTGAGGACATAAATTGGAGAAGGTTGTAGGCATAAGAAGGACGATGATCGGCGATGATTTGATAAAGGAAAGTGCCTAGGAAATATTGTCTTCTTAAGGAGGGGAAGAGCCACACTAACTCAGTGTAGTGGTGGGAGACACGGGAGCGTCTCGGGGTCCCAATTACAAATCTTACGAAGCTATTCATAAGTCTTTTGATTCTATCACGGAGTTCCACCGTGAGGCCATCGTACACCACACAGCTGTAGTCAAAATGGGGAAAGATGAGGGAGGAAACTAGGAGTCTACGGATATTTTGGGGTAGAAGATGGCGGAAGTGGTGGAATAGTTTGAGGGTAGAAATTGCACGGCGGGATATATGAGAGATATGGTGATTCCAGGAACGGGTTTGATCTATGAGAAAGCCTAAATTTTTAACAAAGGGATAGAAGGTGATGGGGCATGGAATTTAATGAAATTGATATGGAACCATCTAGGCACCAACACACAGTCACTGGAAATTTAACGAACATCGGATTAACGATAGTTGATTTGCCCGTCACATCGATTCACAGAAAGGTACTGAACCAAATTTGATCCTTGATATCTGAAACGTAAAACGCGAATGGAAATTTTCGATTCTGAGCACAATTTTTTTTTTAACCTCCCGCACAAACAGAAAGTTCGGTTTTCGGAAGCAAAATAGGCTAAAATCTAGGATTCTGTAGTAACATAAAAAATCGTTGAAAAACGATAGAATGAATACTTTGTGAGTTAGTCCCCAAAAACATTTGTCTGTTCTTTATAAAATTATTCTTGAATTTTCTCGGGAAAGCATTATATTTACAAAAATTAAAAGGACTTTAAATAGAAGATTATAGAAAAGTTTCATCAAAGTCGTTAGAGCCATTTATGCGATACAGTTCTTAGAAAAACATGTTTTTATCTAATTGTGCAGCCGCCATTGCGTAGGGAGCGCCGAATTTGTTTTTCAGGAATCGGTCCTCAAAATCTTACAAAGCAAAAAAAGCAACAAAATCGGTCCACTCGTTTCCAAGATAATTACATTTCTTCTTCTTCTTATTATTATTATTTACTTGGCTCAGAAACACAAACCAATTGCTGACAATGTGTTTTTCGGACTCAGATGGTTCCGAAAAGTAAACATCTGTTGAAAAGCGCACATTGGAAATTTTACTTTTGATTTATAACGATAATTACTATGGTGTTTATATGATTCTTGAAACCCTTATTAAATACAATAATACTTTTAGAGATAAGGTTTTATTATTTTTTTTTCATAAAACATGGTTATATTTTACCATTTTGGGGGGCTTAAGCCCTAAAGCTCCTCCTCTCGTGTGTCCGTCAGTTTGTATAGATTAGTAAAAGTAAAAATACTACACAAACTAAATTATAGTACAATAGCTTTGACGTATGGTTACTTTACTGTTAGCGCCAAAGGTTATTTAACAATTTGTCATGTTTATTCTGATTGTGCTAAAGATTAATTGGGTTCAAAGTTCAATTCATATATTACAATCATAATATTATATTGTCGCTTAACATAAAAGAGATAAAACATAATTTTAAACTTTCTTAAATAGACTATATTCTTTGAAACATAAGCACATATATTTATATAATTTTATTGGTCGAATTCTTAGCACATGCGTTAAATCCACACTTAAGATTCATAAAAGCGTATATTATTATTTTAAATCCTTAGGCCCCTTTAAATACGAATTATGGGGAGAATTTCAAGTGAACGGCAAATCCTTACGAATCATGGCGATGTGCGAATTAGCGCAATACGAACTATTCTGCTGTATAATATAATATCGCTTAACATAAGAGAGATAGAACATAATTTTCAACTTCACTTATTAGACTAAGATATTCGAAACGTAAGTACATATGCTTATATAATTTTATCGGTTTAATGTTTATCAGATACGTTAGATCGACACTTAAGATTCATAAGAGAGTATATTATTATTTTAAATACTTAAGCCCCTTTCACACCGAAGATAAAAGACGCAAGATGCAGGCATCTAACACTAGACTGTGTAAAAGACCGAGAGCTTTACAACGAAGATGCAAGTGCGTTTTACACCCTGGATGCAAGACGCACTTGCATATCGAGAACCTGCCGGCTAGAGATTTGAGGGTGCAACTTTGTTGTGCTGGTCTTGGTTACTCGCCCCACAGTTGGACAAAAGATGGATTTTCGTTGATATGGACTCAGATCTTGTAAATTATGTCGGATTAACTTGATATTTAGTACCCTTATGTGTCAAGGAACACTAATATGACGTCAAATATTGGCAAATTTCCGCGGAAAACATAGAAAATTCCGGTTTCTTTGTTTAAAACTGGGAATTTTTAAATCTGAAAATAAATTAATTTCGAAAATAATTAATACTTTTTGCAAGTCAGAATTTTAGATACCTATTTATAACTACTGTCTATATTACTTCATATAATCGTTATTTTATTTTCAATCCTTTCAACTCAGCAACGTTTCGGTCGTTCCCTACCAGCAACTCGACGCACAGTCGTCCCAAACTCGATTGTTTTTTAATCGTAATGCTATAACGGATTTCATTGCTTCTTCGTTTTATAGCATCACTACTAAATATTCTCCAATATCTGTGAAATGAATATAAATATTATGAGGAATAATATATGAAACTATGGTAGATAACGTGAGATATCTTATTATAAAATTCAATAATTTTTTTTCGAGGACTAGAAATTCTTGTTTAAGCTTCTAGCGATATATATATATATATATATATATATATATATATACAATTTTTTTTTATAATTCGACCTTTATATTATAACTTAAGATATGAATTATAGTCGGATAATAGGTCTAGTGGTAGCAATAGACAATGGACAAAAGTAGGGACCATATTAATTTGATTCATTATTGTAAGGAATGGCTCTTTATACTTTATTCTATTGTAATCTATTTTAAATTTTAGCATTTGATGTATGTATAAAATACGTGTAAGATTGTTTTAATTCATTACTCCAGCAATATCAGTGTTTTAATTTGGCAATTTTAATTATAACCAAACAGAGATTGTTATGTAGACTGTTATCGTTGGTATCGGTATTATTCTCGAACTCCAGGATTGTAGTGCGCGCTGCGACACTCAGTAGTTTGATGTCCATGTGGCGGTAATGTTGGGTCTGTCAGCGTGCTGGCCGGCTTGGATTATCCATGCTCAATTAAAAGTAAGGAAACAAATTTGTTTTTATTGTTGACTTTTGATTGTTATACAAATGATAGCTATTGTTTTTCCAGAACTGAAGAGGATCCCATTATTTATGTTAAAAAACAGGGATCGAAACGTTTTTGAATTTCATGATCCATTATCCGACTATAATTCATACCTTAAGTTATATATATATATATATATATATATATATATATATATATATATATATATATATATATATATATATATACATATACGTCAAATAAGATATTATAGGTAGGTAGGTAGGATAGGGCTTTTAGGGCGATAAATTATTACGCTCGTTAAGATATTATAACTTATGTTTTGTTTTTTAATCTTAATAAATTTCAATAATTTCAAATTTGGTTGATTCAACTGAAAAATTAATTTCTCGAAAACCGGTAGATTTTTATTTTGATAATTTATAAATTTCAGAAAATGCCAATGTTAGACTTTCCGCGAGCAAAAAAATAATATTTAAATTTTTTTTTTTTTTTTTTTTAATAGGTATGATTGTATTTTTATGTTTTTAATTTACTTATATTTAGGTTTTTTTATTGTATATAGTTTTTATTTATTATTATTTAGTTATTATTTTACTTTGTTAATTTTATTTTTTTTTTGTATATACGGTGTGAATGTGTTCATTTATCAATATAACTATTGTCCCTGTGACAGAATATTGTATGTCTAAATAAACAAATAAAAAAAAAAAAAAAATTTTTTTTTTTAAATCTTGTACATTAAACAGGATTCAGGACTTGAATATTCAGTATGAAGTTGTTATATCTTAGTTTATTATTTAAACGCTTTTTTTGACAAATAATGGTTAATTCTCGTCCATGAATTGTTCTTCATTTTCTATATTGTTCTTTATTCTTATAATAGATAATTTTTTTACTGCACACCTATTTTTTATTCTTCCTTTTTATTTTCTTTCATATAAAACGTATGGCACATAACTATATTAACGTTTATTGTTAATCTGGTCATAATAGTTATTATCATGTTTAATGTTCAACACCACTCGTTAGAGAAGTTTTCTCTTTCGACGTAAAACTGGTTGATTTATTTATCATGCATCTTGACATTTTAATCATATTTTGTTCCATTTTAATAGAAAACTACTGGAAAACCTGTGTTTCTTAGAAAATTGCTGTGAAATAAGTTAATTCTCCGTAAACACTAATAAAATTTCATGTCCCGTCAGAGGGGAAAACCGAGTGTGAAGTATAATTATAATATATTTTTATGTAATAACTATAAAAATGTATCGTTTATCAATTATAAATATTCATTTACAGTAAATTCTTATGGAATAATAAACATTAATTTTATTTTTATTACAATAAAATTTGAAACACCACCGATAGTGATATTTTAAACACTATCGATGCTTCATCACTTTCTCCGATGAAAAAAATACATATTTTTTCATTAATTTTAAAGATTATATTAAGAAGAACTGATACAGATCAAATCAAAAAGATTCAATCAAATACTCTCAGATTCAATTTACCCTTGTGAAATTATAATGGCATTTAAAAATAATAAGCGTTAGAGATTGAAAACATTATATTTTATTACTAACAGATTGATTATTGAAAGAAAGTAAATTTGATTTACTTCCAAATTTTATATTCATATTTCAAACTCACGTTTGAATATGAATATAAAATTTCGATTGAGTCTCAAGAAATTTGTATATTATGCAGTCAATTTATCCACAATAGTCTACATCACATTCTCCTTCACTGCCCAGCATTCAATGACTATAGACAAAAATTCCTTCAAAACTTCATCTCAGAATCTTCTGATAACCGCAACGTCGATTCCATACTGAATATGGATTGTGTAGATAAATTAAATAAAGTTTACTATTTTATGATGGGAGTTCACAAAGTGCATACACAAAATTGTTGATCATAGCCATGTTCTATTAAGCATTTGTTTTTAGTTTATCTTAAGAGTAATATTTTCTTTATATTTATAAATATTTTTATTTTGTATTGTTTCTATCATAGTAACTGGTTCATATAATCAATATTATGCAGTAATCGTTTTATGTTTTTAATTTTTATTGCTATTCATGTTTTGTGAAAACCATTCTAAACGTTAAATATTGTAAATTTGATTTATATTTGAATTATATGTATGTAAGTTTGTAAAACCATCTTATTGTACAATAGCCAAGCTAGGCTCTATTTGTATGGGGAACTCCCTTAAAACAAATAAAATATCTATCTATCTATCTATCTATCTATCTATTTCAAACTCACGTACTAAACTAAACTAAAACTAAGAGATAATGGATATAAATATAAGGGGAAAGTGGCGTGAAAGCCCTTTCATCAAGATGCAAGACGCATGTGCATCCTGCATCCAGGTTAAAGCATCTTGCGTCTGTGTGAAAGACCCATTAGGATTTAAGAACAGCGCAAACGACAGGCTGATCTACGGGGTTAGGGGTATTTCGGGATGAAGCTCTCTCCCAAAATGTAACCACGTTTTATGGAAAAAAAATATCTCTTAAAGTATTATTGTTCGTGTAATTACATTTTATAGGACTACAAGAATCACATAAACGCCATTTTATATATGTATTAAGCATCTTTTTTTTTTTTCCAAAGTGATTATCGTTATATGTATGAAAAAAAAAGCTTCGGGCTGAAGCCCCTCCAAAAATTAAATCCTGGATCCGCTGGTGGGTGCAATCTCGCATCAGTTAGTTTTGTATTTGCGATGTTTGTTAATGTGTATTCCACTTACTTTGCTTGAAAGAAATATTATTTTGTGCTATATTTTTATGTCATCTAAAACATATTTTATTTATATGGAAGTGAGTAAAACTTACTAAAATGAGGAGATGACAACGATAATTAGAACCAGAACTTGCAATAATTATAAAAATAAAAAAAAGTTTCATTAAATATGTACTTATAGAGTATAAACAGGGGAGTGCGTCTCGGATATGGCAGAGATGTTAAGAGTGGAACATTTTATTCGATCCGATTCAATAAACTAATTGCGTTGGCTAAATTTTGCCACCGTCATTTGAAAAATGTTTGCTGGGTAGGTATGTTACCACTACTTACTATAGATATATTATTATGAAGGAACCTAACTAAGCCCCGAATGAAAAATCGGAAGAGTTGAATGCAAAATTACATTGAAAAGAAGTTGGTCGGGATGTTCTGTGAAAAATACACAGTAAAAACCTATAAATGAAATTTTTTTTTGACGAAATTTTGGCCTAAAGCTCAGTCCTTTATCGGAGCTATAAGGAAATACCAGATAACAATAAGTATGAGAAACAATTGACATTAAAATGAAAATAATTATATGTAGGTGAAAGGTATAGTCTAATGGCATGTAGCTAGAATAAACTCAGTAATAATAAATAAGTGGAGAGGCAGAAATATGAAATATAATTAAAGGAAATATAAAATAACGATAAAAAATTTAGAAATAGAAAGTAGCGGAAGCAAGTCACAAAAGGAATTTGTGAAAAAAACAAAACAATAACAGTAACAGATAGGATCTTATGAAATAAATTATAACGGCAACAAAGTTAGGGAATAGCGAAATAATCATAATGAATGAAACATACATAATAAAATTATGTAAGAAAAGATGTACAAAATGAATTAACAAAAAAATTTAGTGGAATATTATGTGATAAAGATGTAAGTGTTAGGAATCACAGGCGGATCTATGGGGGGGGGGGGGCTTTTTGGCTGAAGCCCCCTCCCAAAATGGTAAAATATAATCATTTTTTTAGGGAAAAATATTAAAAACTATGTATTAAAGTATTATTGTTCGTGTAATTACATTTAATAGAACTTCAAGAATCACTTAAACATTATTTCATGTAGGTATATATATGTATATCTTCATGTCATATATATATATATATATATATATATATATATATATATATGAAAAAAAAGCTTTCGGGATGAAGCCCACCAAAAATTAAATCCTGGATCCGCTAGTGTTAGGAATAGAATAATTGCGGTGACGTAGTTGCTAAAATATTAAGTCTTAAAATGTTAGAAAGATGTGAGATTGACATAAAATAAAACGTAAAACGGAGAAAAGGAATATGAAGTGACATAAAGAAGATAATAGATGTAAATAGAAAAATACTGTAAAATCTATCAAAACATACTGACTATGTGGAAGATAATCAAAACTAAGATAAAAGAAGAAAACCAACTTATCTCAGAACTTTTGGCCGAAACGTTGGCAAAAATAAAAGTATATATCATTTATTTATTTTTACTTTGTATTTTCCTCTTCTACCAATGATCAGTGTCCTCATCCTCATCTATTTATCTCGTTCTTGTACCAGCTGACTATGTCTATTCCAGTTCATTCCTCTCCTATCGAAATCCTCCCTGACTGAACCTTCCCAGCTCTTTCTGGTCCTCCCTCTCAGCATTCTTCCTTCCACTTTTACTTCACATATAGTTTTGGCCATTCTTCCCTCCTGCATTCTTTTGACATGGCTAAACCAGCATTGCCTGTTTTCCTCAATTGTATTTTCTGCTGGTTTTATTTTCAAATTGCTTCTTATCGTTGTATTCCTGATTCTGTCCCTCCTAGTTTTTCCCTCTATTCTCCTCACAAACCGCTTTGATGCTTGGAAACTATTTAATATTAGTAACTATTTTGCCTCAATTTTTATTCACAAAAATTTTTTTTTTTATTTTTATTTTTTTATCTTGTTCCGGTCCAGGCAAATGTTTAATTTTTGTTATTATCTGCTGAGTATTGCGGCCGACGTAAGTTGTATTGTAAAATAATGTTATGTCCCAGCACGGACCTAAAGAGAAAATCAAGTTGTCCCCATCCACTGATAAATTCCTACTTTGGGGGACATTATTTTCTCCAATGGAAAGACAGCATGACTGCTGTGTAGTGGTATTATATCGTCTGGTGACACATTGATTATAGTCCCAGAAAATCCAAGATGAACCCATCCATTAATGA